AAAAAAAAAAAAAAAAAAAAAAAAAAAGAACTTGACGAAAAAATATATTACCCAACAATAAGGATGGTTGTCATGAGAAAGTTGGGCTCCAGATTTAGATCTTGAATTATGGATAATATAACTTTTCCTGTATATGCTGTAACTTCACGAAAAGTTTTCAACAGGGTACTTTTATCATTGTCATCAATAATACTTGAGCTTGCCACGATGCATAAAACCGCACCTTTCAAATCCTAGTGAAAAATTGAACAGTATGAATGAAAAATGGTATGATAACACCCATGAAGAGAAGGATTTATCATGCCTTACAAAGGCTTTCAGAAGTTAAGAATACTAATGCTGAAAAATCATGAAAGCAAAAAATTCATGAATTCCTATTATGAAATCTTCATTTGGGAAATAGAAAAGACAAGACTTTTAAGTGTATTAAGAATATGAAGTATGCATACTCTCACTTTTTGTACCTAAAAACCCTTGACCATACTCATATATTCATTGGGTTTCAACTGAAGACATCATTGAAGTCTATGACATTTGGTAAACAGAAACTTTGGATCCAATAAAATAGTGACATACATACGATGATGGGTAAAAGTGATATAGTGCATACATTGAAGAGAAAATAGTCCTAGGGAAACATGTAACGCACTGCAACCTTTGAGTTTATAAATGATTAATATCTAATTTTAAGAAGTCAATTTATACGGATAAATAACAGCATTATTTGAGCTATACATCTAATAGATTTAATAATATACAGATAAGCATGAAAGTTCAATCTCCTAAATAACGAAGATTCAGAACATATAATTAAAAGAGTAAAAAAGTAATATTAAGATGACCATGCTTTTCCTTTTGTATAGTGTATAGTATCCAATTTCACTTGCAAGCTTCCCAGCCATACCTTTAAATGCACACTGAGGAAAGGGCAGTCATAAATTGACTTTAAGACTGAGGTCCGAAAGTTGTGACCGGCTCCAAATCCAATCTTTCCTTCTTTAAGGTTCTCCAAAATCTGAACATTGCTGCAATAACTTTACTAAGGAAAAAATGCAACTTTTGAACTCACAAGACGAAAGGAAATAGTAATTGAACATTTAAATTTGCCTACACTTACAAAAAAAAAAAAAAAAAAAAAAAAAAAAAAA